TCACTGAGGCCCTTGCTGTGCAGTGGTGGGTTTAGAGTAAGTTTGGGAGGAGGCTGTGCAGAGCTACACTGCTCTACATAATGGAGTGAGAAGCATTTGGAATTCCACAGGAAGAAACAAGTAAGGATAAAGTGGAGAGAGAATACATTCTAGCCTATACCCCTAGGTAGAGGTGTATATCTGGGCTACAACAGCATCAGCAGTCCAAGAGGAAAGTGAGGATAGCTGAGATATAAACCAAATGAATTGAGCAAAAGCAGGCTGGGGGAGTCAGGCAACAGCAAATTTAAATCTCCAGGAATTCTTTGTCCTCATTAGGAAAATATTAGTCTTTGTATAAGACGTCAAACAAATTATGTTTACACAGTCTTTATATATACAGGTAAGTATATACATTATACATAGTTATTGACCCTGACCAATATCTGGGTTACATCTAAAAATCAATAACGTTCAAGTTTGTTGATCAGATGGGAAAGCAAGAAGAAGCAGTAGGGTCTCTAATATATCTTTTCTTATGAACTTCAGGCAATTTCCATGTGAATGTCAATTTCACCCACTTGTTATTCATGCCAGCATTCACTTTTAAAACTTATAGACCCTAAAAGAGCCATTACTTTTATTATTTTTATTTTTGAAAACTGTTTCAACTTTGCCATTTCTCCATTTTTTATTTCTTTATCTGTTTCTATAATGAGTTACATGGTTTTCACTTTACTAAGAACAAAGGACTCTGTCAAGAAAATCTGTATCTTACTTTTGTGAGTAGCGATTAGAATCTTAAAAGTTCATGAATCTAATGTGCAACTGTTGGTCTCTCCCTGTGCAGAGGAAAGAAGAGTGATGAAAACTGAAGATGCATGAGATCAATAGTCCAACAGACTAATGGAACACATGAACCAAAAGAACTAGATGGTGCCTGGCTACCTCTACCAACTGTGTTCTGAAAGGCATCATATCAGAAGGTCCTAGATAGAGTGGGAGGAAATGGGGAACAAAACTCAAAATGATTAAAAAAAAAAGACCAGGCTCACTGGTCAGAAAGAGACTGGAACTTGAGAGGATGGCCCTTGGTTAC